CAAGTTTTAGCTATTATTAAAAATAACTGTTTTATAGCAGTTTTTTTGTTAAATATGAGAAAAAGTTTGTCCTCACTGGCTGTCAGCCTGGTTTTACACAAAACGTCAAAACTAAAGTCGTTTAGGAACCAGAGGTTGGCAGGATCTTGTGTTTGTACACGTGTACCGGTGGATTACACCTCGGTAATCCACGGTGCACCATCACTCGCACGTCGACCCCTGCCTTCTATGGTCGTCGCGGCCCTGAACTTCTCATCTGTGCAAAAGAGAGAAAGTGTGAGCGCGCGTCAACAGCCTGAAAATTCTTGCCTTCCTGGAGTTCCTTCTAAGGCCAGGTGGACGGGTGGACTCAGGAGCTCGGTAATCTCCATTCCTCTGCCTGCATGATCGGCCCGCAGGCAGAGGAACTGAACGGAGGGAATGTGGTCGTCTGCCACCTTTGAACCCCTCCGTCCGTCCTTTGGAGAGCCTTGCGTAATGAACAGCTTTACTCTTTATGGTAAAAAGTGTTTTTGCGACCGTTGACTGTGTTTCAGGGTTCCCCCATTTAGTCACAATTTTTGTGTTTCTTGTTTTTGCTGTTACAGACTCTGCTGCCTGCACAGACCCAGAGCTTTGTCCTCAAACTCTACAGGTAACCTTGAAAAGTGCACAAAATCAAAAGCTGTGATGAGATGAAGTGCATGCATTGGAGGATTCTCATGTTGTGGTTGAACACGGCTGCTTTTGGATCAAATTCCAGGTTTATTAAAAGATGTTTCGGCCAAACGAGCTTTAGTTTCAACCCCCTGAAGCTGAGCATTGACAACTTTAATGGAACAAAAGGGATCATGAAAAGTTAATTACCGTAATTTCTAGAATATAGAGCACACCTGAATACAAGTCGTGCCCACTTAATTTAGAAAGAAAAACTATCTTGTACATGTATAAGCCACACTTGTGTATAAGCCGCACTGGTGTATAAGCCGCACTGGTGTATAAGCCGCACTTGTGTATAAGCCGCACTGGTGTATAAGCCGCACTGGTGTATAAGCCGCACTTGTGTATAAGCCGCACTTGTGTATAAGCCGTGGGTGCCCACGTTGTAAAGAGATACTTACACAAAAAGATGTTACAGAGAGAGATTTTTAAAAACTTGTAATTAAATCCGTACCAATAACATACACAAATACGTACAGTAATTTTTTTTTCTGAACAGTGCCTGTAACATAGCTGGTTTAAAATAATAAAAAAAAATACAGTAGTCTACCAGGAAAGGTCATTGAACACCATCTTCATCTTCCTCCTGTGCATTAAAACCACTAAAGTCGTTGGCGTCTTAAGTGTCGGAGTTCATCACACAGTCTGTCTCTTTCGTTGTCGCTCTCAGCGTCACTTTTGTCTTAAGGTAAATTCACGATTTGATTTATAATTCACACTTATTTCGAGCGGCTGCAAATACTTCATTGTGTACAACGAGGGAGGAAATTCCTGTGGGGAAACTCCCACAGGGAGGGGAGGAGAGAATGAATGAATGAAACAAAGTTTCATTGGTCCACTGACCTGTTCAGTAATTTCATTAGTCACTTTTTTACCTTTTATTTATACAGGTAATCTTAATGAGTCACAAGAATCCATCTCCCCAAGAGAGACATGTATTGGCAGCTATGTCAGTGCCCGGGTGTGATGAGGCTAAATGTTGTGGCGGCATGAAGCTCGTTAACCCGTCAAAAAAAAAATCCACAAATTAGCCGCAGCATTTTATAAGCCGCGCGCGGTGTTCAAAGCCTGTAAAAAAAAATAAGTAGCAGCTTATAGTCTGGAAATTACGGTAAGTTTTGATTTCCGTTCGGTTTTTGCTCAGTACAAGATGATTCTTAAACAATCATAATAATATTTCATATCTGAAATATAATGTCTGTTGTGACATGTCAAAACCAATCCAGGATATATTTTTCTTTTCTTTTATGTTTTTTTTTTTTTTTTTAACCAGGAAGTCCCTTCAAGTTTACATACGACGGGGAAAACGTTGCTTTTATTGAAAGATAAGTCAATCAAGGTGCAACTTTTTATCCGTTATTTAAACTAATACTTTAATCTCAACATTTAAACTTGAATAATAAAAATTAAAATAACCCCAATTAATTTTTTAATACGCCAATTAAAAGCCGGACGTGTACAGTCCAGCGTTTCCCTTCAAGGATTCAAGGTTCTTCATTTGTCATACACACCACATGTGGTACAAGTGGTGGAACCAAATTGTGTACACAGCGTCCCAGTTACATCAAACAAAAGTATTAAAATGTAAAAGAAAAACCGTAATATCTGATATGAACTACGAAAAACGTTAACTAAAAATACACTAAGCACTAGTAGCGTAAAAAAAAAAAACAATATGCCGAACACGAGTATTACCACTTACCACTATACAAGCAGGTGCCTGCCCTGCTTACCGAACTCCACCCCCATCGACAACTGCCGGCACTGATGTAGCACTAAGCTAGCAAGCGCTAAGCTAACGAGCGCTAAGCTAGTGAGCGCTAAGCTAGTGATCGCTAAGCTAGCCGTGCTATAGAGTGCAAAATGAAGTACATAAGGCGCTACGTTTGTCTCGCACTGATCCATCTCCATCCCCACACTCCCCGCTCGACAATGGTGCAAACGGTGTGCAGCAGATGTGTGTCTTACCCCACCTCCCACCCTGTTGACAAAAATCACGGATCATATGAACATCCTGCCAAGGCAAGTAAACTAAAGGAAACACTGTAGTCCAAGTTTGTCCATGTCCGTAAACTTTCTCTGGTCCCGCCCATCACGTTTTCTATTTAATATAATTTGACAAAACTTCGTACACTTATGAGTCATCACTAGACGCAGTGTCGCGTACACTTTCTCTCACCCCAGCTCAAGGGTCAAAGGTTATGCAAAGTCTTTGCTCGTCCGAGTCTTTGCTATAGATGGCCGTATTGCTGAGTAACAGTTGGTCGACGAGCATATAATGTGCCGTGTGCACCAGGAAACCAGATTACAGAGTACTAAATGACTCTCATAAAGTCGTGAAAAATTATGAAATACAGAATCTAAACAAGGAAATGCAGAGAAATCAACTTTCAAATAAATGTAAAAGAATGTTTTAGAATATAGTTTGACCTTTAAAAAAAAACAAAATTTTTTTACTAAATGGTCAATATGAATTCTTGAAGACAATCATCCAGTTAAACACACAAATGTTTACAAGACAATATTCTTTAAAGTTTTGTTCACATTAAACACCAACTTCAAGCTGCACCGTGCTGAAAGTTTATTCAAAAGTCCTTAAATGTCAAAACGTTGGATTAAAAAAATAATTTGTACTTTGTGTTGAAGGGTTAGTTTGAAGCTCGCACATTATGAGTAATTCATCTCGTCTGGTTTGTTTTCACACTTCTCACATGTTTTTGTCACACTTGGGTCTGTTCAGCTTCTTTATAGTGAACTGTGCTACGGAAACATTTCTTCATTGTGTGAATGTTTATGAAGCATTCACACTGTGATCCTTTTGTCTTCTGTACATTTTTCAGCATCTTTCTCATTCCACAATCTTTGTGCTATTTCAACAATTCATATATCAAAACATTCATCTCATTCAGGAGAACGGTGCTATGTTTGATATTGGTACAACTTTAGCTTTTTGAAATATTTCGCCTTTTCTGCCATTTTTATCTCCAAGAAAATGAACTGAGCTCATTTTACATCCTTCAAATCTTTAGATCTGTTTACAACCTTTTACTGCTCCTTTCACGTTTTGTTCTGCTTCAGCTTCTTTCTGCTTCCTTGTGCAAATTTAAACTTTTTTCAGCCACTTTCAGATAATTTCAGCTGTTTTTTCAGCTGTTTTTTGATCCTTTGATTCTTTCTGCTAACATTTTTGTACTTCCAACTTCTTTCTGCTAATTTCAGCTTATGCTCCTTTCTACTTATTCACGCAATTTTAAGCTTTTTCTGCTATTTCAGCTATTGTTTAGCTGTTTTTATGCTAATTTTAGCTTTTTTGGCTAACTCCACATTTTTAAAGCATTTAAGCTTTTTTTCAGCCTAATTCAGCACTTCCTTCTGCTAATTTAAGCTTTTACATGAAATTTTTGGCTACTTCAGCTGTTTTTGCTAATTTCAGCTTTTTTCAGATATCCACTTTTTAGTGCTCATTTCTACTTCTTTCAGTTTAACTGGGCAAACATGTTCTTTCTGCTAATTTAAGCTTGTCCTACCTTTTCAGCTTTTTTTGTTTGTTTTTTAGCATTTTCAGCTTATTTCAGCTGTTTTCAGCTAAATTTAAAGATTTTTTTCTGTTCCTTTCAAACTAATAATTATCTTTCTGCTAATTTCAGCTCCTTTCACCTTTTTTTAAACTAGTTTCAGCTTTTTCAGCTACTTTTTAGCTGTTTTTGTGCTAAATTTTGCATTTTCATCTAATTCCACTTTTTTTTTAGCTCATTTTAGATCCTTCCGCCTCCTCCTAGTAGTTTAAGCTCAGTTCTGCTATTTCAACTACTTTTTAGCAATTTTTTGCTCATTTAAGCTTCCTTTTAGCTAATTTCCTAAATTTTGTGATCATTTCTGCTTATTTAAATCTAATTAAGCAAATGTGTTTTTTTCTGCTTTCTTCTGCTAACAAGCTTGTTCTTCAACTTCAGCTACGTTTCAGCATGTTTTTATCTAATTTCAGCTATTTTTCAGCAAGTTCTTCAGCACTAAGTATTCACACTGCATTTTCTTAGGAAATGCAGTTTCTCTAGTTTAATTTTCAAATCTAAGTGATGATTTCTTTAAATTATTTCCATCAATCGGGCTGCTTGGAAGGTACAACAATAACTCGGATGGGTTGAAAAAAACTAAAAATGCACCGTGTTGTACCTGGATGGATAAATTCCTACTTCCTGTTAGAACTGGTCCGACTCGGTGCAGCGTTTCCATTTGATGTGCTTACGGACTCGTGTTCCTGACAGCAGAGTGATGCCTCGGCTCTACTGGTGCATTTTTAGTCAGCGTTTCTGCTCCTTCGGTCGTTTGCCTACCAAATGACTATTTGTATGATTCACGGCCTCTGCTTTCAGGCACCGGCCTCCATATTTGTACTTCGGCTGTCGGCTTCCTTCTCTAAAAAGCGGCAGTGATGAAACTTTGAGTTCACGCTGAGGTGGAAGGGGAAAACAGGAAGTAAAGATTTGTCTTGTCACCATTTTTTTTAAACCTAAATGTGCTTTCTTTACTCAAATAGTTTAACACTATAATTTATAAGACTTAATGCAGCGTATTGTTTTGCTGTTTACATTTTTTCCACACACTTTTTAGTCTAATTCTGCATCTTTCTCCTCCAGTAATATTATTCTCTTTAAAATCTACTTCAGCTTCTTCGCTCGTTGCTACTTTTAAGTTTTTAGCTACTATTCTGGTACGTTTAGCTTTTATATGGCCTTTTAGGTTTTGTCCATCCTTCTGCTACTTTTAGCTTTTAGCCAGCATTTTTAAACTTACAGCTGCATTTAGCTTCTAAACGGAGTTCTTTAAACATTTCATTAGCATTTTACTACTTTAGCTCTCATCTACCCTATTGCTATTTTCGGCTTTTAGTTAGCGTTTTGCTACTTTTAGTTTTCATACAACCTTTTGCTGCTTTTACATTTTAGCCAGCATTTTGCGACTGTTGACATCGTTTAGTTTAATAGTTCTTTTATATGTTTAGCTAGTGTTTTTCGACTTCAGCCGTCATCAACCCTATAGATTTTTGTTTTTGTAGCTATCATTTAGCTACTTTTATCTTATAGTTGGCTTTACTTTTATCTTTTAGCTAGTGTTTTACTATTTTTTGGCTAATGTTCTGATACATTTTGCTCTTAACTTATTTTGTGCTTTTGTCTTTTAACTAGCTATTCACTTTTAGCTTACCTTATGCTGCATTTGGTTCATGTCCTTTCTATGTTTGCTAGTTTTATCTACTTTTAGCTTTTGGATAACCGTTTATTGCTTTTAGCTAGTCATTGCTGTTTTTGGCTTTTAGCATATTTAGTGTTTTTGCTTCTTTTCGCTTTTACAAAGTATTTTAAAGTCTTTTGCTTTTAGCTGATTTGGCTGACCTTTTGATACTTTTAGCTTTTAGTCAGCATTTTGAGACCTACAGCTGCATTTAACTTCTAAATAGCCTACTTTAAACATTTAGCTAGCATTTTGCTGCTTCAGCTTTCATCTACCCTATATCTATTTTTGGCCTTTAGCGAGCATTTTGATCTTGTAGCTAGTGTTTTACTACTTGTAGCTAAAGTTTATACATTTAGCTTTTAGGTAATTTTTTTGGTATTTGTTTTTAACTAGCTTAGCAATTGTTCACTTTTAGCTTACCTTTTCCGCTTTTGGTTCATGTCTTTACCATTTTTAGATTTTGCTATTTTTTCTATAACTTTTAAATAGCGCTGCTTGGTTTTTTTTTTCAGCTTTTAGCTAGCCATTTGCTGTTTTGTGGCTTTTAGCTAGTTTAGTATTTTGCTTCCTTTAGCTTTTACAGAGACTGTTAGTGCTTTGCTTTTAGCTGATTTGCTGTTGTGGTTTTTAGCTAGTTTTTTGACGCTTCAGCTTTTAGCTGGTGTGGAGTTCTGCTCCTCTGCACACCGTCTTCTCATCCGACTGGCAGCTGTTAGATGTTTAAAGCTTGTTTGTTTGATCTCTTCTCGCTGTTCCTTTTTATTTGTTGAATATTTCTTGTTCTGTTTCGGCGCGTGTTCTCAGGACGAGGCTGCAGAACCAGTGAGCGCCCACACACAAGCTGTCAGCATGAAACACCCCGAGGCGGACGATCTGTCCCACACACAAAACAACGGTAAGGCTTCCTCCTCCTCGCTTCAATTCTTCATACATCTCATGTCGGTTAAGTTGTGCACATTCAGACGCTAACCAAGGTGTGAGTCATTTCCTGACTTTAGCTGTTGTTTTTTTAAAGCTTCTCTAAATCTTGTTGAATAAAGATGGAACTTGTAACTTGGGAAAAAAAAAATCTGCATTTTCTGTTCAAATTCAGTGAGAATGCTGAGTGCCGAATAAACGGCTGAAAATGAATCATGGAAGTTGAGCAAAACAAAAGCTGACTCAAACAGCTGAAGCTCAAATGATCAGAACATAAGCTAAATAAGCAAAAATGTTAAAAGCTATAGCGAGCAGAACAGTATCTACAAACTAAAATGACCCAAATAGTAGCTAAAAGCCTCAAACTAAAATTAGGTAAATTCAGCAAAAGCTTAGTCGAAAGTTACAATTAGCAAAACCACAGCTCACAACAAATATTGGTAAGGCAGTAAGCTAAAATGAACAAAACTGCAGATAAAAGTTAAAACCAGCTAAATCGTTCCAAAAGCTAATCGGTAGATAAGTTATAAATGGTTCAAAGCTAAAATTAGCAGGGTAGTTCTAATGGGCTAAAAGTTGTGAAATTGTAGCTGAAAGCTAAAATTTGTTAAGTCATATCCATAAGCTAAAATCGACTAAATTGCAGCTAAAAGTTCAAATTAAAAGGAACCACAGCTAAAAGCTAAAATGAGCAAAACCATAGCTTAAGGCTAGAATTGATATTGGCAGTTGATATTAAATTAAGTTTGTGAAACCGTAGGTGAAATCTAAAATAAGCTAAATTGTAGCTAAAATCTAAAACAAACACAACTGTAGCTAAACGCTAAAATTAGCAAATTGGTAGCTAAAATTTATAAGCAAACCATAGCTCAAAGCTAAATTTAGCAAGGCAGTTGCTATGGGCGAAAAGTACTGAAATCATACTTGAAATGTAAAATTAGCTAAATCCTACCTGTAAGCTAGAAATGGCTAAATTGCAGCTAAAAGCTCAAATTAAAATGAACCACAGCTGAAAGATAAAATGAGCAAAACCATAGCTTAAGGCTAGAATTGGCTGATCAGTTGATTTGAAATTAAGTTTGTGAAACCGTAGGTGAAGGCTAAAATCGGCAAAAATGTAGGTAAAAGCTAAAATCCGCAAAACTATAGCTAAAAATCTAAAACTAGCAAAACATAACTCAAATCTAAGCTTGGCGAGATGGTTGAAATTCCATCCATCCATCCATTATCCCGCATTTCCTTTTCGGGTCACGGAGTTCACTGGTGTCCATGTCTCGCCATCACTGTGTGAGAGGCGGGGAGACATCCTGGACAGGTCTCCAGTCCATCATTAAAACTTAAAATCATAACTGAAAGCTACTTTTCTTATTCGTAACTGTATGCTAAAATTAGCTAAATAGTAGCTAAAAGCTAAAATTAAACCATAGTGCTAAGCTAAAAATGGCTAAACTAGCTCAAAAGTAAAGCATTCACACAATGTCAAGATATAGTTTTTTGTTTTTTTAATACTTTAACCAAGCTGGTTTGTTAAAACTTGTGAATTTTAAACTGTTTTATTACTTTGTTATGCAAACATCTCGGCATTGAACAAAGTTAAATTTATAAACCATCTGTCTCGGCAGCTGAAGAGGTTGCAGAGTTTCGTTCCGATTCTTCTGCACCAACTCCGAGCTTTCCACCCAAACCGGAGCAAACCATCGCATCTGCGGACCCTGCGCCTGCGGACCAGTCCACTGCGCCTGCGGACCCTGCTCCTGCGGACCCTTCCACCGCGCCTGCGGACCCTTCCACCGCGCCTGCGAACCCGTCCACTGCACCTGCGAACCAGTCCACTGCACCTGCGGACCAGTCCACTGCACCTGCGGACCAGTCCACTGCACCTGCGGACCCTGCGCCTGCGGACCCTTCCACTGCACCTGCGGACACTTTCACCGCAGCAGCAGATCTGGATTCTCCCAGCAGCGCATCACCCAGACCAGAGGAGGCAACGACTCAAACCCCGAGGTGAACTGAAGTCAACTTTAGCAGCTGCAGCATATCAGTTACCACCAGAGGTCTCTTGAGTGAGCGGGTTTTTCAAGCGAGTACTTTTTATTTAGACAGATGCACACAGCATAAGATGTCTGTTAAAACAGATCTGATCATAAAACCATCTGGCTTTGGTTTGATAGGACCGCTGAGCCATATTGAACATCGCCTGATCACTTTATCCTCCTGTGTGTTTGTATTAGCAGAAATTCATTTTATTACTATTATTTGTCGATGTACTTGGGAAATTTAAAACGTACAGCAGATTGGTGGCATCGATGGAAGAATTCCTCCTAATATCAAAGACATTTTTAGCGTAATAGACTAAATATTGCGTTTATTTGTTTTCAAAAGTCTCCCCAGTTGCAGATGACGTTACTTTTTCATTGGGTTGGAGCATTTCCCTATGACTTCGGCCATATTTGTTAGTCAAATGGGTGTTTTTTTGGTCTCTCTCTCTCTGTGGGAGGAGCTCGAAGGCTAATTAACTTTGTGGCCAAACTTTGCATAGACACAGTCCACCTGTAAACTTCTCTGTCACGTCTTGGAGCAGCTGTCTGATCAATTATATGTTGTTGCTGCTTAATCTGAAAGTCAAGAATCAAAAAATGGATACTGCCTGACAGTTTACCTTTTGACTCTTTGATTGCGGTTAGCGCACCGCTGACTGGCGAGGATCACAGAGGAGACGACAGACCAGCTGAAGCGGACTCGAGCGCTGCCGATATGAGCCGACATAAGGTTAGTGGCAGGGAGGAAGTGTTTTAATGCATAAGGGAATATAATTTCCTCTATTCTCTTCAGCACCACTTCCCCTTCCTCTTTTGGTAAACTGCATTTTGGTTGTACTCCAGGTGTGTTTGAAGCTGCGGAGGGGGCTGGGTTAGAACAAGTTTAAAAAATCTGTAGGATTTCCTGCAAAGAAGGGCGAACAAAGCTAAGATGTTGTATCAAAAAGTTTACTTAAAGTGGCTTCGTGTTTTGTTAAACGTTACACTGAAAGGCAAGGAAGCAGATTTTTAAATTCGCTTCAAACTAAAAAAGCTTAAAATGCAATTTCAAAGCAATTAAAAGATTGATATTATATTTATTTTTTTGAGTTTTTACTTTCTTTTAGGACCTCTTCTGGTATAATCACCTACTTTTCGGGATCAGTAGATCCTTATGGAGACCAAATCCTGGTCCTAATATGGTGGGACATCATTTTTGTTCCTTGTCACTGAGCGAAGTCGTGACTTGGAAATAAAACCCTCTCTCCACCTGTTCTGTTCATCTTATGAACCACGTAACTTGAAAAGTAACTGAGGTACCGACTTCCAGTTTGGTGTCTGGCTGCATCTAGGCGTGCTACATCAAAATCCAAGATGGCTGCTGCCATAAATGTATATTTGTAAACCTTGTGAGCTGGACAACTTGAAAAACGAGCAATGTGCCAATATGGGCTTTCCACATCTTAATCCAAGATGGCCATAGATGTATGCAGTCCGACTACTCCAATCATTTGAGGAATCTATGCCTTCTAGTTTTTATATTGCTTAAAAGTATAGTTTTCTCAAATGATAATGATGGCTGGAGAGGTGGCCAAAGATGAGCCTATGGAGGCCAAGGCCACCGTTGGCCACCCCTTGGCTCCATCATTGCGCCTGGTGGTGGACCGCTCCCTCCACTTGCCAGCATCTGTCATTCTGCGCTGCATAAGACGAGAGGAACAACCTCTGTTCTTCACATTGTCACTCTTACCCACTTGAATATCATGCGCCAGAAACATTCCCCGTTCAGTTCCAGTCCAGAAAAACACTCCTCTCCAAAACGACAAACATTCACTACTCAAATCCCTCAGTGACTGGTGACGTCAGCATACAGTTCATAGAACTAGGGGATTGGAAAGGGAATAGGATTAAAACAATTTGAATTAGTGCACTGTCCATCACTGCACCAGCTCCCCATGCATGCACCCATATCATCCCACCCAGGCCTCCCGTTACGACCCAACTCAAAGTGCTTCGAGAAAGGAGCATATCCAGTTATGTGATGGACTAGGGGTCCTTGTCAGGACCTGAGTCTGGGGCCAAAGGTCAGGAGTTTTATGGTCAGGGTTACAAGTCAAATTTAGTGTCAATAGTTAAAACGTTAGGTTTAGGGCAAGGGTTCCTGGGTTAGGATTAGGAGTCCAGGTTAGGCTTAGCTCTCCTGTTAGGTTTAAGGTCTAAGGCCAGAGGGTTAGATGTAGAGCGGCGGGATTCTGTGTTAGGGATTAGTGTTAAGGTTTAGGGCTAAGGGTGACATGTTTGGACATGCAATGTTAAGATTATGATCTGGTTTTAGCTACAGAAAATGACATTCAAGACAAAGTCCCAGAAACACAAACTTGTGTCCTAAAACTGTCAGCTTGGAAAAAAGTGTTTCTATAATGATACATGTTTTTTTTTTGTTTTTTTTTTAATCATAATCATGTTCAGCTGTTAATGTCTAGAAGATATTTATGTTGGAACCCAAGAATGATCTTGCTGCATGACTGGTGGTAGTTCCTCCAGTGCTAGCTTTGTGTTGTGCTGCTGGTTTAGTTTCCTTCCAGATGGCAGACCAGTTGCCCTGAGAGCTCGTCTTATGTGACAACTGGTTTCAAGACTCAGTATTTATGAAAAGGTATTTTGCGCTTGTGGACGCACCATCATCAAAGGTTTTCAGTCGAGTGAAAGTATTCAAGAAAGGTTCTTTTGGTTTTTATATGAAGGAAGTCGACTTTTTAATATAAAATCAGCTGTTTTTAATACATAAGACTAAGAGTGATGCACTCATTAATAAAAACAAACATTAAGCAGAAAGAATGGTGAGACTGGGATGTAATTTGATGCACTTGTCAGGTGGGTAGGTATGTAAATGATCCAATTTGCAAAGAGCTGGCAGATCTAAAATGGTCACCATAGGGAATGAGTTGTAGTACTCACATTCTTTGGTGTTTTAACATTTTTTGTTGGCATTGTCAGTCAAAACTGTGAGAGGTCACAAGACATGGGAAATTATTGTTTTTATTATTATTATTAACCTTTATTTAACCAGGCAAATCCCATTGAGATCACAGCTCTCTTTTGCAAGGGGGGCCTGGAGGCAACGTAACATGTTTTTGGTCTGTGGGAGGAAACCGGAGTACCCGAAATGCCTCGTACATTCATTTGATGGTGTTTTATAGGGGTCACACAAATTTTGACGACCCAAATATTTTCTAATACCTACTCTGTGATCTAATGGTCAGATCACAGAGGCAACAGGTCCAGGAGGTAAACCCAGACATCCCTCTTTAGCTCCTCCTGGGGGGTACCCAGTTGTTACCAGGCCAGAGAGGTTATATAATTTCTCCAATGAGTTCCGAGTCGGCGTTGCTAAGCCAGGGTCCGAGCGCCAAGGCCCCCGCCTTCGGCCATTGCTCATGGCGTCATGCACCTGACTCGTACAGCCCCGCCTGCAGGTGGTGGGACCACAGTTGAGGTGGTTCAGTTATCTGGTAAGGATGCTCCCTGGGCACCTCCCTAGGGAGGTGTTTTGGGCATGTCTGACTGGAAGGAGACCCTGAGGAAGACCCAATACATGCTGGACTGTCTCTCGGTTGGTCAGGGAATGCCTTGGGGTCCCCCCAGAAGAGCTGGAAGAGATGGATAGAGATGTCTGGACCTCCCTGCTATGGATGGATGGATGGATGGATGGAGTTCTGGGTCTGTTCCAGGGTTTCCTCACAATTAAGTGCCTGAAATCTGCTAGAGGGAGGCATCCAGGAAGCATCCCGGTGATGCCCAAACCACCTCAGCTGTCTCGTTTCGATGTGGAGGAGCAGCAGCTCTACTCATCTCTTCAGCCAGCCTCTGAGGCCGAGCCCATTGGAGGAAGCTCATTTTGGATTTTGTTTTGTTCTATCAGAACCATCGCTCGTGACTATGGGTGGGATGTCCCAATACATCGATAGCTTTGTCTTTTCACCACAACAGACCGGAACACCCCATTTAACTAGTTAAACTTTTAATTTACCATTATTTGCTTGTGGCGATTAAAAATGCATGGCGAGTGCTCATATACAATTTACTGACCGTTAAAGTGTCTTGCATATTATTTTATACTTTGCTGTTCTGATAATAAATAGGCGTCAAAGTCTCCTTACATTTATATTGTGTAAAATAGTAAGTCAGTCTCTTGTTCTGTCAGAACGGATATTTTGTACAGTCATTACACAAGATCCCATTGCAGTGCTCTCTCATGTCCATTGTGTGTATTCACACTATGTTTTCAGGCACTCCACCTACACTGCAAAGTATTTTTGCCAGCGTTGACTGAGTTAGCCGAGTACCATTTCCATCTAGTTACACACACACACACATACACTCGTAACGCAGCAGAACTCTCCATGTGCACAACTTTCACATTATATAAGCAATCAATCCCGTCTCTCGTCCACACTCTGTACAGCTCGCATATCATTTCACTGCCATGGGACAGGTATGCTGTTTGCACCTTATTCTATTCATTTGAAACATTTTATTTAAAGTTTGCCCAAACACGATCTTGTTTCCGAACTGGGGTTTTCTGCCGTTTGTTTCAGATCCTTAGTCGTGAGCCGTCGATGGACAAGACAGCAGTTGAGGACTGGTGAGTGGTTTGTTTAAGTAATTAAGGTTTATAAAGCGGCATCGTGTAATTTGGGGAGTTTGTTGCTTTATTTAAAGTACGAGCCTGTTGCCTGTGCTGGTGGAGGAAGAAGAGATCGTGCAGGACTGTGCAACCGACGCTCCAACACTTTCAGCCGGTGTGTGTGAGAGAGAAAGCAGAGAGATTTGTTTACTCCTTTCTTCTGAGCAGCTTTAACTGCCCACACATTAAATTTTATTTCAAGGAACAGATCAGATCACCCGCAGTGGGCCAAACATCATCTCTGAGAAGAGCGATCCTTCGTCAGGGTCGTCCGTCATACGCAGCAGCCAATCAGGAGGTGGAATGAGCAACGCGACCTCTGACCCCAGCAGTCCAGAGCTTGGCGAAGACAAAAAGGACAAACTTAATGACAAAAATAAAAAGGTACTCATTATTCCAGTTCCACTCCTCCTTTCTGCTGATGAGTAAATTAAATGTATAGAACATTGCATTTAGGTTTTTTAACTATACTTGGATGTTTTCAAAACAAAAGCCCAAAGAAATTGGAGGAAGTGAATATTTTAATTCAGCTTGTTATGAAATGCCAATTTCATGCAGTGTGAAGATGGTGCCATTATGATAAAATTCCTCTGAGACGGTGCGTTGGTGTCCTGCAAACTAAACATGACTGAAAGCTGAGGAGAAATGTTGCCTTTCCTGCTGTGTGAGTGAGTTTGGAAGAAAAGGAGGAGGAATCGAGTGCATTGTGTAAAGATTAATGGAGGAAAAGTGCAGCGAAGGAATGGATGTATCCGAGAATGTCAGGATGGAGGGATCAGAGCAGAGGAGGCAGCTAAAAGAGACGGATGAAGCAGAAACGGCCATGTTCGTGCGTGTTTTACAGGAGCTGACTCGCAGCATGGAGAAAGTTCAGGATGAGACCGGCGAGGCTCCTCGGAGAGAATGTGAGTAATTTACCCGTTGTGTGGCTTGATGAGCGCTTCTTCCTGGACGTTTATTTGTGGCTTTAGGATTTACTTTGATCACGGTTCATCTCCAGCTGAGACTTCTGTGATTTCTGACAACGAAGATGTTTTCAAAGAGGACAGAAACAGGTAAGATACTGAATTGTATCTGTGCCCCACCTTCAATTAATCATTGATCAGTTTGTTAATTATCATCTCTTGTCTGCAGTTTGTCGCCTAGTGATAAAGAAATTGAGGTATGTATACCAGCTGATCTTTGTGGTGTTCCTCCTTAAAGATATATATATATATATATATATAACTTTTGTTATTTATTTAATGATATATATAAAGTATGCTTTATTTAGTGCATTAAACTAATCACATAAGTTTAACAGTCAAAGAATGTCAGTTGTTGTTCAGCTGGCACAGATATGAGTTTTCAAACGTATTCACCCACATGTATTCTCTTTGTTTTGTTGCAATAAAACAGGGTTTTATCTTTTTTTAATCTTTTAATTTGCACATCCATCCATCCATCCATCCATCATCTTCCGCTTGTTCTGGACTCGGGTCTCGGAGGCAGCAGCTTGAGCAGGGAGACCCAGACATCTCTTTCCACAGCCACCTCTTCCAGCTCTTCTGGGAGGACTCCAAGGCGTTCCCAGGCCAACAGAGAGACGTAGTCTCTTCAGTGTGTCCTGGGTCATTCCCAGGATCTCCTCCCAGTCAGATATGCCTGAAGCACCTCCCTAGGGAGGTGCCCAGGGGGCATCCTTACCAGATGCTTGAACCACCCCAACTGGCTCCTCTCGATGTGGAGGAGCAGCGGTTCTACTCTGAGTCTCTCCTGATAACCGAACTTCTCACCCTGTCTCTAAGGGAGAGTCCAGCTACCCTGTAGAGGAAACTCATTTTAACCACCTGTATCCACGATCTAATTCTTTAGTCTCTACCCAGAGTTCATGACCATAGGTGAGGGTAGGAACGTAGACCAACCAGTAAACGGAGAGCTTTGCCTTACAGCTCAGCTCTGTCTTCACCACAACGGACCGGTACAGAGGCCACAATACTGCAGATGCTGCACCAAGTCTGTCAATCTTACGCTCCATTCTTCTCTCACTGTGAACAAAACCCCGAGATACTTGAACTCCTCCACTTAAAGAGAACCTCACCCTCGACATGAAGAGAGCAATCCACCCTTTTCCAGTTGAGGACCATGGCCTCAGATTTGAAGGTGCTGATTCTCATCCCAGCTGCTTCACACTCGGCTGATTTTAAAATGCAAAATCTGTATTTTCTGTAAAAGGAAAACCTTAGTGTGGAGAACTACTCGTCCCCCCAAATCAGCACTTCGTAGAACCCCCTTTTGCTGCAGCAGGTCTCTTCTGGGATCTTTGATGATCTTGACCAAACTGCTGTGGGTTGGAAGGGTGATGCTTGTGTCCCAACGATCTTTAAACCATTGGAGACCCTCAGCTGGACTGAGGTCTGGGATTTGAGCGAACCATTCCAAGACCTTCAACTGTTGGTCCTAAAACCTCTGAAGTGAGTCGTCCTGCTGGAACATGAACCTTTGGAAGACTCCAACATCCTAACAGCAAGATGCAGCCACCACCGTGCTTTGCTGAGGAGAATGACGTGCACCAACGGTGTTCTCTGTACGATGAGGTGTTAGGTTGGTTCTTGATGACAAAATAAGTTCAGTTGTTCTCATCTGACCACAGCAGCATCTTCCATGTGTTTGGGGGGGTCTCCACCAATTTTTTTCTGGCCATTCTTCCATAAAGCCCAGCTCTGAGCAGCTCGTGGACAGGTGCTCTATCTTTGCTCGGCCCGTGCGATTTGCTGAACAACCCTCTCGACTTGTTTGCTGTTTTTTATTTCTTAATAGTGTAATTTATTGTAGCCTGATGGGATGTTCAAGGTTATGGATCGATTTTATTTTTACAACCCAAGCTCGATCTGTACTTCTCTGACATGTGAGGAGAGTTCCTTGGTCTTCATGCTGTCTCTTGCTTCATCATAGCCCTTAATTCTAAAACCAGGGTCGATTCTGGGAGCTGTGTTAAACAAATAGTATTCCTCGCTTATTGGACGTAATCTGAAGTATTTCTCTGGATTAAAGTCCGTTTATATTCCTGGTTCTAAGGCAACGGAACAAAAAGAAGACCGAGGGTGAATACTTGGGTAACCCACTGTACGTTGGTCATGTTTTTATTTGCAGGCAGAGTTCCAGCGCCTGGCTCTTGGGTTTAAGTGCGATATGTTCACGCTGGAGAAGAGGCTTCGGCTGGAGGAGCGATCACGTGACCTCGCCGAGGAAAATGTCCGCAGGGAAGTGTCCAGCTGCCAGGGGTTGCTGCAGGTTCGTATTCAAACCTCCGACTTTCTGTGTGTGGATTATTTGTTCAGCTTTTTCCTCTGCAGTCATTAGAGGTCAGAGTTTCGTTTAAAGTTTTATTGAGGTTTCTCACGGACACGACAACCGTTTAGTTTAGGAGGATTATTTTCATCCTGTGCTGAATGTTTCCGTCTTGTGTGAACATTAAAAGTTTTAGCTTGAAGGAATTTAAATTTGTCTTACCCGTTTCCTTTAGGCTCTGATTCCTCTGTGTGAAGATGACAGCCAGTCCATGGAGATCATCCAGAGACTTCAGAAAAACCTGGATATTCTCATCCAGTCCATGACCAGAGTGTCCAGTCGCTCTGAAATGTTGGGCGCGATCCACCAGGTTGGCTGAAACACCACAATCTGCACGAATTTTGTGCCTGACCGTTAGCGCTGACCAGATCAGAATAAACTGGAATGTCCAGTGATCCAGGTTTTTTTTTTTTTTTATATTTGTGGAATAACAGGAAAAACGAATCGGTAAAGCGGTGGAGGTGATGATCCAGCATGTGGAGAACCTGAGGAGGACGTACACCAAGGAGCATGCCGAGCTGCTGGAGCTCCGAGAGGCGCTCATGCAGAGCGAGAGGTCGTTTGGATCACAAACGGAAAAAGGTGACGAGAGTTTCCACACTGATGTCATCGTCGGCTGTTATTTATCGCACGTTTGATTTTTTTTGTTGTTGTTTTTTTCCACTCAGATGATTTTCGGGGCAAGAAACAGTTGCAAAACAAGGTTGGTCTGCGTCACATGGCCTCACTTACTCAGATGATGTTTTAGTTTATAACGGTGCGTAAATGTGTGGTGCTGAAGGTTTTCCATGTTTCTAGTCTTCCAGGCGAGGCAGCCAGCCCATTGTCCGTGCCAGTGGGGGCAGCATGCAGTTTGATATGGTGAGAAACGCCACGCAGCAGACTTTTCAGGTTTTATTGGGTGAATGCTTATTAAGCATTCATATCAAAACATTCAGCTCGTTCACAACAATCCTGCTCGGACTTTTGGTGCAACTTTAGCTTTTTTTAAATATTTAGCCTTTTCTGCCATTTTTTTCCTCATAAAAAATTAATTGAGCTCATTTTACCTCCTTTAAATCTTTAGATCTGTTTACAACCTTTTACCGCTCCTTTCACATTGTGTTCTGGTTCAGCTTCTTTCAGCTAATTTTAGCTGTTTTTCCAGCTGTTTTGTGATTCATTCTGCTAACTATGAAATGTATGCACTTCTTCCAACGTATTTCTGCTAATTTCAGCTTATGCCTCTTTCAGCTTATTTCTACAAGTTTCAGCTATTCCTGGTATTTCAGCTACTATTTAGCTGTTTTATGGTAATTTTAGCTTTTTTTTTTTTTTTTTTTTACTAATTCCACATTTTTTGCACTCATTTCAACTTTTTTCAGCCTAATTCAGCACAATTGCTTTCCACTTCTGGTAATTTAAGTTTATTTCTGCTTTTTTAGCTACTATTTATCTTTATTTTATTTATTTTTTTTTATTTCTGCTTTTTTCAGATAATTTCCACTTTTTTGTGCTCATTTCTGCTTTTTTCAGCCTAATTGGGTAAACATGTTTTTTTCTGCTTTCTTCTGCTAATTTAAGCTTATTCTACCTTTTCAGCTAACTTTCTTTTAATAGCATTTTTAAGTACTTTAAGCTCTTTCTAGATAAATTCAAGTTTTTAATGGTACTTTCTGCTACTTTCAGCCTAATTAACTTTTCTGCTAATTTCAGCTTGTTTATGCTAGTTTCAGCTTTTTCTGCTATTTATATTTAAGTGCTACGTGTTGTCATCACTGTATGTTCCCATACAACTGCGAAATTAGTTCTCTGCATTTAACCCATCGCACCTGGGATACACCCAGGTGGAGCAGTGGACAGTTAAGCAATCGCCTGGGGAGCAATTAGGGATTGGGTGTCTTGCTCAGTGACACAATGAGGTGGGAATGGCTGGGGATCGCATCTGGGATTTTCGGGTCCCAAGTCCCTGCCTTACCTCTACCCCATCTCGGCCCCCATTTCAGCTACTTTTTAGCTGTTTTTGTGCTAAATTAAGCATTTTCCCCCTGATTTTTTTTTT